TAAGGAGCTTCCCCGGGGCGCTTCTTTGCCCCGGGGCTTCGTGGGGACGGCCTCCTCCAGGGGGACATTCCTGGGCGCTCGGTTGCCGCCTTGCCAGCTTTGATGCCATCCCACTCTGCCTTCTCGCCAGGTGTGGCCACCTTTTGCTTCCCCGTATTCCTACTGAAGAGGCTTTTTCCTCCGCACACGGCAGAGATGCTGCTTTCCTTTGGAGGGAGAAGATCCGCCTGGGCTTATTATCTCCCTTTTTACTTCCCTGATGAACGCTTCTCCGTTCGGGATGGAGGGGCATTTCCATTTCAGTATGATGCAGCGAGGAAGATGGGGAATCCTGGGCAGCTAGGGCTCAGGAAATGCCCCTTTCATCCTTCTCCTCACCCTGGTACAGGCATTTAAGTAGTAACACTGCCTTGCCGGTTTCTTGGCTGTTCTTTCTCCTTGGGAAGAGAAATGGGAGCGGGAGGTGTGTGTTTGTGAGAGGAAACAACTGTTACACCTTTTGTCATCAAGACAAAGAACTTGTCTTCATCACCCTGTGTCCCTCCCTCTGGGCGCATATTGGCGGCACCTTGCACTTTGCATTGCTTCCCAGAGATGCTTCATAAGGATTCGGTGTGGCCCTGACCTGCCCTTTTTTGTTGTTGTTGCCAATTATGATGGTGCTGATAAAAGGACACGTTGATATGTTTCCAGACTCGTGGTTTGCATTCCTGAAATTGCTGCAGCATTCTTATTTATTTAATTGGAGGGGGGGATGACAACAGGAAGGGGGTATGTTTTTGTGGTTTATTGTAGTAGTTTGAAAGGTACGAGATCACGTGCAATTGCAGCACCGTAGTACGGAGTGTATTAACCAGTGCTTTTGCTCCCTCTTATTTGTCTTGCAGTCCTGCAGTCTCCACATCATCTACTGTGTGAGGAATAATGAGTCCATGAGAGAACTTCCTTTCGGTTACCTGTCTGCTCCTACTGCATGCTGCTCCTGGCCAGTGATGAGCCATTCAGCTAGACTGGGATTTACCATGAAGAAGGGGGAGGCAGAACATGAACTGTAGACATCCCGTCAAGTTCCTTGCGTGCTGTTTTTACTGTGTCTGTATATAAATCTAGCATCGAATACACACACTCTTAAGCCTACATTGGTATTTACAGAGTTGCTACTGTGTAAGAGGACTGGTATTTCTCACCATCATGGCTTCAGTTTGGAAAAGACTGCAGCGTGTTGGGAAGCATGCATCTAAGTTCCAGTTTGTGGCCTCTTACCAGGAGTTGATGGTTGAGTGCACAAAAAAATGGTAAGAAGTAGCTCATGTTGCTGCACAAATGGTGGAGTAAGTTGCTGGTGCTGAAATAGGAAGGATGTTGCTCGTTTTGTCTTGTTTAGTGTGTGTGTCTTGGTCGTGCCTCCCCTCGCTTTCTCTTGCCTGTGCATTGCAGAAGCAGCTGCGGGGAGTGCTTGTCTTTCTTGCTGAGTGGTTGCTTTGCTGCATACTTGTCTTGGACCTGTTGGTTTTGTTCTGTACCCTGATTTTCTTAGCGGTTGTTATCATGCAGAGGACAGTGCATTTATTGGCTCAGCATCTGTGACTTAGTGGTGTAGTTTTGGTTGTTGGTTTTCTCCCCCCCCCCCCAAGTTATCTGCTGGCACTGTTGGTAGCTGACTGAGGCATTGGAGATCAGTCCTGAAGATGGTGGTGTTTTAATTTAAGGTGGATACCCATTTTGATTTTGACTTTTTTTACCTGAAGATGTTGTCTCTCATTCTTCTGTTCGTTGTTCCTTTCCATCTTTCAATGGAAAGGGGCAAGTGACAGCTCCTCAGGAATTGTCTTAAGGTATTTGTTTAGTCAGGCGAGAATTTTGTGCAGTGGTGGTCCTGTTGGATGGTTTTGGAGCTGACTAGACAGCAGTTAACAGTTAGTGGTATGGGTCTGGTGCATCTTCCTTTCTGTGCAAAAGGAGCTTAAATAAATCTGCTAGGCAAGACACGAAGCAGCTTTTAAGTATCTGTATAGTGGAGATATTTGCCTGACTATTTAAGTGGTGTTTCATGTGTTCAGAATATTGACGTTACTGACATAATTCCTCACTTTAGTGTGTCTGTAGCGTCAGGGGATGAACAAAGTACTTTCCAGACCTTGTGGACTGAGATGTTCAAATTGCCTTGTAATAAACTGCAGCCTCCTTTCTAATACTTGGCCTTTCTTCTTGTTGGCAAATTTGGCACTTGCATTGGCTGCTTGCACTGGTTATGAGTAATTGCCTCTACAAATTTAAATTCTATCTCTTGGAGTTGGAAATCTCTGTTAAATATGCTGGAAGGCTGTTTGCTGCTCTGTCTTAAAGGAACACTGTCAGGTTTAAAAAAAAAAATTAACAAGTTATCTTCTTGCCTAAAATGTTTTGAAAGATTATTAAGAAACAGAATCGTTTTGGAAGTTGAACTTGCTTTCACAGAATAAACTACAAATAAAAGCATTTCAAAAGTTGAAAGAGACTGTCGTGACTATCTCATGGGATCAACTGCCTAGTTCAGGCCAGAGTTTTCCACAGTAATTTTGGTGGATCAGGTTTATTTCAACAGTTGTGTTTATAACTTTTTATGTTTTGTTTGCATAAACTAGCCTCTTTTGGCTTTCATTTTCACTTTGATTCGCTCCTTACTTGAGAATTTGCAGAATGCTTCAGCGCTGAAGTATGAATGCTGCAGGGGAATGTTCAGGTTGGATCTGCAGCTAACTTTCTCTTGATTTAAGAAAGTCACACAAAAATTCCCTTGTGAACAATTTTGTTATTTTAGAAACAATTAGTTTATTGTTTAATCATAAACTAGAGTGCCTACCTAGCAAAATGCCTGTGTGTGAGGTAGTGAAACGGCCTTTCAAAACCTCAAATACACAACTAATTTTTTAAAAATACATTGTCTTTTTGAACCTTCATTTTATGTTATTGAATTTAAATATAAGCAAGATCAGTGCTTGTGTTACGATGAAGCAACAGCATGGTGGTGAAATGTGGATGAATTCTAGGAAAAATAAAAATAGGGAAAACCATCACTCGGTCATTTGATTGTAGGGTTTTCTATTCTGCTTCCTCTTGTTTAAGGAAGCTTAACAAAAATGTTCTTTAAGCATGCACGCTAAAATACAGTATTTCTGTCATAAGTGGAACTCCTAAATGAAACAAAGGGTAAATATATAAATATTTAAGAATCTTCAGCTAAGTCTTTGCTTAACTTTGGAGAAGATACAGTTTTGCATATGCTGACAGAATCACTGCTTCCTCTATTTCTAAAGCTTGTCTCCGAGTTTGGCCCATGTGAGAACAAAACAGAAGAAATGAACTCCATATACTGCTCAATATATATTGTCGGTGCTGTAATCTGTAGTTTGCTTGACCAAAATGTAGTAAGCAGTAAGTCATTTTAATGTACTGGTGTTCTAACAATGCGGCGTTTCTAGAGGAAAAGAATGCTCCATTCATTTTTTAAAATAAATAACAATGCAGTCATAAACATACTTGAACTGAGATGTGTCTGTGAGCCAGGAGTGTGTGTGACCAAAACAGACTGGGTGCCTGTCTGTGAACTGCTGTCTTCTGTTAGGTTTACATTTGTATAGCTCTCCAGAAAATTACTCGTGTTTTAGGCTATTTTTGTAACTAATCATGTGCTGTTTGTAATGTTGGGTGTATTTGTGTTTGGCTTTAATACTTTTTGTCTCCTCTGGACTTGTATTGATTTAATTTTTTTTTTTTAACTTAGCATTCAGAATAGTTCCTGCTTTTTTTCTGGAGTCATGCTGTTTGAGTGGGAAGCTGCTACCACTCTGGTGTTGCTGCTTCACTCTTTAGAAGGATTATCTCTAGGTACAGCAGCGTTTGTCCAGCATCAGCTAAAACTCTCTTTCCTTGCTTTTTCTACACTCTAAAATTTCTGATTCTTGTCCCTACTAATGATGAAAGACAGCCATTCTCAGATGATTACTCTTCATTGGTGGTGCATTTGGAGGGGACAGGTTGTGATGGAGTGTCCAGTGTTGTCACTGTTTCATTAGAAAAACCTCAGTTAATCACCAGGTCTGAGTCACTTATGTGGCATTCTGGCTGTTCCCACTGACCCAGACCTAATTATTGTGGTTGCTCAGTACCTTTGAAAAATTGAGCAGTTGGTTCATTTAGAGCTTTTCATTAAAAATAAATAAATAAGTAGTCTTGGTCTTTAATATGGATTAGTGACTCCTGCTACTGTGAAAACGTCATGCTTTGCATTAATCATATAAGCACTTGGGTTTTTTGAAAGGTGCTTGCTTGGCAGTGCTGGAGCATGTCATCCTCCACTTACTCGCGGAATAAGCTGGGGCAGCACAGGATTTTTCCACCCAGTTGCACCAAAGAGCTGAAGTCCTGGCCTGGAAGGACTGTATGGTAGGAGAGAGTTAACTTAGTCCTTATCCTCAGTGCAGAGCCGTTGAATAAAACCAGAATTAGTCTCATGCATTTTGCTTCGGCTTCTGCAAAAAAAAAGTTGTAATTTGCTGCTCTGTGCTGTCGGAGCAGAGTGTTGCTGTGTGGGATAGGAGTGTGCTGGGCTTGGCTGGCAGGTGTAACGCTGTGACTTTCTCAGGGGACCCTGTTCAGTTTGCCTGAGCACTGGTGTCTAGCGCTGGTTAAGATGCCTTCGGGTTTTCTGCCAGTCCCAGCTGCCAGTTTGGAGAAGCCCAGGTCTCCTGTTGATCCTGTGTCAAGCCTGCTAGCTCGGCAGGCATCCCTTGTGTACCCTGGGGCTCCTCAGCTGCTGCAGGCCTCTGTTCACGAGACTGAGTCAAGGCTTGTTTGAGGCATGGGCTCAACAGAGGAGCCTCACAGAAGAAAAATACTCCTTTGGACCAGAGATCAGTTCCAGTACTCAGACCTGAAGCTGTGATAGCTCTTTTACGGAGCTGCTGAAGCATCTAATGCTGAACACATGAGCTCCCTAGGATGGCTTTTATGTGTTCTTATTTTTGTGTGATATCTCTGAAGTTAAGGACTAAACAGAGGTTTCAAGTGTAGTATCGACTGCTTTCCACAGAGAATGGTCTAACTTACAGAGTTGAGGTGGTCAAGTTCCTAATATGTCATTGTCCATTAGATGCTTTTATGAGCAAGAAAGGTGCTTACCTGAATGCTGGTGCTGACTGCTTAAAAATGCTGGAAAAGAGTAGACTTAAGGAGGCTTTTCTACAGGATTTGCCATTCAGCAGTTACTTTAGAGATAAGGAAACGTTATTTTTTTATGATGTTTGTAATACCTGTTATCTCCTATGTGAACTGATTTGCTTTTAAATCCTTCTTAAAAATACAGCAAGCCATGGTTTTCTAAAAGGGTTAAACTTTTCTTGTATGCTGCTTTAACTGAAGACAGGCTTCATTTCCATGAGGCAAGTTGCCTGTTTTTGTATCAATTAGGTATGGTCTGAAGTAGGTTCTGTATTTTCAAATACATATCTTTCTCTTTTGGAAATGAAGTAACGCTTAATCTTTTCTTCCAAAAGGCTTTAGCCATCTGTTTTCCTCTTCTATTGTAGTTTCATAACTGGATGCTGCAGGAATTTTAAGATTTGGCATGCATTGTGCATGGGAGAAAAATGAGCTTTTTGAGATTCCACGGTTCACACCAGTCTGCTTGCTTTCTGGTCACTACTTTCCAGCAAACTCTTCAGTGCTGAAGGCCACCAAAAGAACTGGAGTTAACTCCCTGTAGAAGTCCTTGGGAGTTGCTTGTAGAGGGTCAGGCTGTCAATTTGCTCTGTTCATTCCCTTGCTTTGCATGGTTGTTAAGAGGGGATTTTGTGAGCACCTAAGCACTTTTAATTATTAAGGATGATCACATTGAAACTTGTGACAGAAAGAGAGACAGTTACAGGTCGATTCAGAACCTCTTTGAGTTAATTTTGCTGTGAATTATGCTTTTTGTTGTGGCCTTGCTCTTCCGAGTTTTTGGTTGGATTTGCATTTGTGTGTTAGCCATGTAGGTATAACATGGAAAGTATAGGTTGTGCAAGGGAAGCATCATGGTTTTTAGCTTCTTTTCTCCTTCTCAATTAAATTATACTCTGTCCTCACACTGAGATCTCTGCCACACTAAATAATTCCCATCTGTAAATACACTTCAGCATTTTCTTCTCTCTTCATTTTCAGTTTTGATTGAGGATTTTGAGGGTTTAAATTGTGTGTCAAACTTACTTTCCCCAAATAATCACTGCCAGCTGCCTTACAGTCTTGTCCCTTTCTTCCTGCAGTCAATTAAAACACA